TGAGCCTGCGTGAAACTCTCCACAGGGGCCTGATCACCAGCCCTGGAGACCCCTGGGGGCCCACGGGGCGCCCCACCCCCCCCAGCACACCCAGGCTCCCACATCGTCCCCAGCCTCCCCCAAGTTCTCTTTCTGATGCCCCTCCTTTGAGTCAAGCCTGGGACACCACAAAGAGCAATGACGCACCCTCCCCAGACTCCACTCCTGAGCTCCTGAGAGGTGAGCGAGCTGCAGGGCTCTCCTTTGGGCATTTCGTTCCCGCAACGCCAAAACTGCGTACCTGGTGTACTGTCACGTGAGCCTCCTGCCTGGTCTATGAAATTATGCCAGGCCATGTGGGCAGTGGAGGGGGTGCAGAGGGACCAAACGACCTCTGAAGGTGACCGCACCTCGGGACGACTGACCACCACACAGTGAGGCCTGACGGGGCCGGCAGTGCTCCGAAAGGCCACCCAAGGGTCCTGCCTTCAGGAGCACACCCACAGTTAGTGTGTCACTGAGCCAGGGATGCATTACAGCGCACCAGACTGGCTGGCTTTTCCAACATTTACTTCCCAGGCTCTAAAGGCTGGAAGTCTGGGGCCAAGGTCCAGGCAGGGTTGTTTTCTTGGAGGCCTCGTTCCTTGGCTCTTGCACAGCTGTCCTCTCCCTGTGTCCTCACCTCGCCTTCCCTCTGGGTCCGTGTCCTGACTCCTCTTCTCATTAGGGCCCCTGTCACACTGGGGATGAGGGCCCCAGCGTATGACCTCATTTTACCTTAGCCACCTCTTCAAAGGTCCTGTCCCGAAACACAGTCACTTTCTGAGGTCCTGAGGGGCTTGGGGGACACAATTCAGCCCATAAGTGTCAGCAAGAGGGCGAGAGAGAGGGAGGTGTGAGAGCAGCTGTGCAGAAAGGAAAGCGTGCTAGGGTCTTGCATGACACAGGAAATGTCACCTGTGCTCCCTCGAGTCCAAATTCCCTCCCTCCCCTCCCTGCCTCTCAGTCCGTTGACACCAGGCCGCAATCTTACTTCTGTTCTGGGCCGTGATGTTCGTCCAGCCGCAGTGACCTGTCCCTCTAATCCCAAACGCAGAGCGCTCACCAGCCGAACCAGTCATCTGGCCCTTAGCCCCACGTGGCCTGGGGCGGCTCTTGATGCTTCGCACACTACGGCACCTGAGGCCTGTCTTTGTCACCCATGGCACCCATCCCGACCACCCAGCTCATCAATACTGCATCCTAAGGTCCTCAAGGCGACTTCTGAAGACCACACTTACCCTCACCCCGCACACCCTCACCCCTCGCCCCACCCCAGCTCTGTGATAAACTTACCGTATTTCATTACATGCATGCGTAGCTCTGGGAGGAGGGGGTTCACCGTCCAGGGCAAGTTCTCTATGAATTCACTAAGACTGAAGAAAGGCAGGGCAAGAAGTTGGGGGCAAAGGGGGGCGCCCCGTGTGTTCTCACGGCGGCCACGGGTGGCTCGCACCCCCGGCTGCTCCCAGGCCTCCCCGGGCCGCTCTGGGCTCTGCTCCCCGGCAGGAGCCTGGCCTCCTCGGCCTCGCTCCCGGCCTGCCAAGCTCCCTGCTCCCCGCGGGCCTGGGTCTCCAGGAGCTCAGGGGCTCCAGCTCCGACCTCCTCGGCTGCCTGCTGCTTCCCGGCACCCAGCACAGCAGGTGGGGGGACACACTCTGTGGGCGGGTCCCCAGTGACTGGCAGACAGCTGACCAATCACGCACCAGGAACAGAGGGGAGGCGGGAATGGGTGTGTCCTCTCCACGCCTCCCCTGCGCAGGTCCTCCGGAGACGGACCAGAGGTTCTGTCGCAGGTAAACATCCCATAAATGTGCAAACGTCATCATATACACATTGGGCGCTACTAAGGCCGTGGGAATCCTGGTCAGAAAGTTCCGTTTTCCCCACAGCGGGTCACTAATCTGTGTCTCTCCCAGGAGACTGACACATACTCAGAAGCTCCTAAGATCTATACCTGGTTTATCCAGCATTATCAGCAGCTAGGCAGTGCCTGGCAGGTAGTAAGTGCTCAATAAATATTTATTGGATAAAGGAAGAGTAGATCAGTGGTTAGGTGATCTGTTTTTGCTGAATAAATTAACTGAGTAGAAGCACAGTGAAGTGATTAAGCGATAATACCTAGAAAGGCACATGCACTGACATTAACAGATCTTGAACCAATGAAACCACACATAGAAAGCAGAAATTCCACCAGGTCATGATACTACAGCAATTACTTAAATATGGTTTCCATATCTAATTTTGTACATATAGAGATAAAAGATCTGTATATACACATAATACTACATATACAAAATGCCTGCAAAATGTGTATATGTAAAATCTACCCTCTGTATCTATTTTCTCAGTCCACTGAAAAAGACGCCAGTAGTCACCCTCACCCAGGAGCTTATTCCACTGCTCAGCTTTGGCCTAAAATGAACAGGAATTCTTCACTTGGGGAGAACTGACAGATTCCCGTGGTGACTCCAATCTAACACTTCTTTTCTTCTTTATATTAGGTAAGAAACACTAAAATCCTGGGAACAAGATGTGTGTCACACATTGGAAATGTTCCTATCTGCTGATAACACTCCATCTATCTCAGCTACACACGTGAGGAAGCCACATGGTCCCAATCCAATGTACAGTGAAGGTAACTAAGAAACTAAAGCAGCACTCCACACGTTACCACTTTCAGCTTCGAGTGGTGCAAACTGGCCGTCATGCAGCACCTGGACGTGTCTGGACATCCTGGGAGGAGGATGCACGTCTGGGATTTGTTATGGTCGCTCAGCTCGGGGAGGTGCATGGAGTGCATCAGAAGCACGGGGTGTCCTCCCCATGCCTGCACGTGAGACTTGTTACTTGTAAAAGGAGTTATTTTCTGAGATGTATTTACCTTTCAGGTGGACTATTTGTGTGGTCCTGGTTGTCCTAAATGCTTCAAAGTAAAAGGTCCTAGTAACTGCTAATGAGAAATTTTAGACTAGGAAAGAAAACCTGTCCTTTTTATAACTACTGTAGCATTTGCATAAACTCAGATGACTCAAGAGTAATTTTGTTAACTGCTTTGTCTCCCACTCCCCATGCCCCCCCTCCCCCCCACCCAAAAACTAACAAGGATCTGGTCATATCAACCTAAATCATTTTATCCAAGTTATAAGGCTCAAATTCAGCCAAGCCTTTGGCAAGTTTTCTCATACTAAAGAAGAAACATGAAGCAAATTAGGAAAATCACACAACTCAGAGAAATAATACTAACATAACCAAGAATCTCAAAATAATTTACCTAATTAAAATGAAGTTCCATTTTGGGAGCGTAACAATTAAAGAAATGAACATCACAGCACTGCAATTTCTCAGTTAGAAAGAAACTTAAATTCAAAGGACATTAAATTGAGTGCTTTAGCCCTTCAATTCCTTTTTATCTGTAATCAAACATCCAAAGCATTCCTCCCAACAGGTAAGGCTGTGTGTCAACAACTAAGATACTGTTATTCATAGCCAGGAGCGATGCCTTCTCTAGCCTAATTAACAAGGAAACAAAATCTCCCCAAAGAAACAAATCTACTCTCTAATTAAGCTAAGCAGACCTGGGCCAGGTGTCTCAGAAATGATCAACTTTATCATGGTTCTAAGGTTAAAATATCCATGAGTCCACAGACACTAATCAAGGCATCAGTAAACTCCATTAAAGAAGAAAATTTAAGAGAAATGCTGTAAGCAGACCAACTTCACGAACATGTGGCCTTCAAATATGCTAAGAAAATCTTCCTAACCCAAAGTTCTTACAATCTTTAAAAAAATTAAATATGAATCAAAAGAAATCTAGTAGCCTAGGGATGAAATTCTTTTCTAATGATTAAAGGGCTCTACATGCTTTACATCCAGTGATGTAAATATTTCCTAACATTTTAAGGTGAGCTTGGGAAGGAAGTAAGGTTATAGTTATTACTCTGTTACAGCTATCTGACATTCACATCTGTGAACATACACTATCTAACGCCATCCCAATGGGCTGTTCCTACAGTAAATGAAAGTCAGTTCTGAGTGTTTAGTGTGAATATTTGAAAAATATATATTCTCACCCAGATTAAAACAATTCCATTTTTGTTAAAAGAGATATTTACATAATTGGCCAAACTGATAAAATCTATTTTTAAAGCAGAGTTAATTATCTGATGTCCAGAATTACTTTTTATTTTTACAAAAATGAGAAAAGCATATTATACTGGAGGGCCATCACCCACAACGTAGTTTAGATTTACTCAGAATACCTTATCTTCTAGAAATCTGAGTTGTGGTAACTGTCCAAATATTTAGCTTCACTTAAAGTTATTTCAGCTCAAACCCAAAACCCAAGAAAAATCATTTTAACACTTCATATCATTCTCTGTAAAACCCACCATAAAGCTAGAGTCTGTTTCAGCAGTCCTAAATGACATTCCGTTGCTACGGCAACAAAACTGCTACCTGTGGCCATGATTTGTTAAGAATTCCTCCAACCAGTAAATTCTGTGCTGTGCATTCACAAAACCAATAGAAAGGCTGTTAAGCAACGTAAAAATTAAGGCTTGATTTCCTACTTAGGATTTACCCACACACATATCTGTAACACATATACACATATATACCTAATTATGGCTCTCCCAACTTCATCAAAAAGGTAAAACCATACCAAATTCCATTATAAAACAGGCACAAAAATGTTACTGCTGTATTTTAGATTTCATTGAATAACTGCCATCTGTTTCCCAAAATATATCTTAAAAGGTAATAGAGACTATCTGGAGAGAATTTTAAAAACAAGAAAATGTATTATTTATATCCAAGCCAAGTCCAACAAGAAAAAAGTATATCCTGAGGCACAGTTTTCTACGTGTTGCAGTAAGTGTGACTTGCTTAGCAACGAGCTGATTTGGAAAACAGAAAGCTGAAGAATAAAGACGTGCGGCCATGACCCCCTTTAGGCACCACTGCCTCTGCAGGCTACTCACCCTGCCCGGGGGGCTCCACGCCTGCACCCGCGGCTGCTGTCCGCCCTGGGAGCTCTGCACATCTTTCGAGCCACAGTTCGCCACGGTGCTGCTCTGGGCCCGCAACGCATTTGCGCAGTTCGTCCCACTGCCCCCGCCGGAGCCAGGTTTCCAAGGCCTCTGCTTGATGCCGTCCAGGAGTCTGACCAGCAGGATGTTACTGGGGAGCTCCTCAACATCCGAGCCAACGAGGGTCCTGCACTCGGGACATCTGAGTTCATTCCGGGAGCCTACAATCCCCAGCAAACACCGTTTGCAAAATGTGTGCTGGCACGGCAAGACCTTCGCAGACGCATCGAGCCGCTCCAGACACACGGGACACTCCAGAAGATCCAAGAAGGCCGATTCGTCCATCTTTATCTAGTGCGCTGAGGAAAAGGCCGCGCAAACGGTCATGGCGGAGTGCACCCCTCCGATCGACTCATGTGACGTCCATGTCAGGCTGCTCTGGGGTCACGGGGGGGGGGGGGGAACGGAGAAAAGGCAAGAAAATTAGTATTGTTATCTAGGGAAAAAATTCACAGAAGAGCCAGGAACCAAAAAGTACACAAAGTGCTTCCTCTGAACAGTGTGGCTTTGCTCTGGAATGTCCCTGCTGAGCTCCAAAGTCAACAATTAAAAACAAAATGGACTTTTTAAACAATTCAAAATTTCCCTGAAGATATCTAGGAGTTCACTGAAACACGGCTATCAAGTAGTATCCAGGATTCCTTCAATAAACAGGCTTTATGAATGCAATAAAGAACATAAATTCTTCAGCTCTCAAAGTGACATTGGCTGCCTTAATAAAGCCCTCAACTCCTGGGAGAAACCGAACAGAAGCAACTGAGAGAGCCCTTTACCTGAAATTACTTTTGAATCCAACAAAGTTCCCAATTTTTAAGCCACTTTAGTGTTTAGGAAGCCATGCCTCATGGGATCACCTGTGGTAAATGATCCCAACAATATTAAATACATCATGTTTCCTCACTGGTCCTAAAAACACAACTGTTTAATCTCGCCTAAGCAAGGAGCTGAAGGCTGACAATGTAAAGGACACGCCTGAAGGTTTGCTCGACAGCAGCTGAGTGGAGAGCACCCTTCGGGGCAGCGGTTGACAAACTCTGAAGGGATTTCTGAACGGCTTGTCCTAATCCCATTCAGAAAATCTGGCAAAATTATCACCGAAATACTTTGACAATGGAATGCTAAACTGAAATTTGCGAGCGTATGAAGACCATTCAGGAAAAAGCATTTGAGCCAAAGACTGCCGCTCTCCCCGCCCGGCACGGTGAATGC